ACAGGCTGGAGGTGTCAGGGAGCTAGCACCCAATTAAGCACCAGTGAGTCTCCCTCTTGCTGGAGGCAAGGAGTAGAAAGCTGACTCTCAGTCCTGGGCACCCCAAGAACCTTCACAGCCAGACAGGATACCAACTCCTAGACCTGGACATACACAAGAACATACAATAATTCTGTAGCTCAATATATATTCCACTGACTGTTGTGTCAAAGCGGTTCATTTGGTTATACTGCTGATTTCCCTTTACACTAAACACAAGCTCTTCTCAAAGGCAGCACAGAAGACCATCTTATTCCTTAGTATGATTTTGATTTTTAATTTATTTTATTTTCATTGGCATCTTTCTCTCTCTATTCTTTTCTGACTTCTTCCCTGACCAACATTCACTGTCCATAACCTTTAAGCCAATTACTCCCCATCACAGTGCTCTTTCCTAAAAGCAACTGAACAAAACCTCTACATAACAGCTTAACCACTGAGACATTACACTCAGATAAGATTGCACCAGTGCACCAGCACAGCTCAGGTAGCACCAGCACAGCTCAGGTAGGATTTTCAGATCCCTTGCATATTTGGGTGCCAAACTGCCCTCCAAAGACTGGTTCAGAACCCGTGCATTGGGTGAGATGCTGTGCTAAGAGGCTCTAAGAGGTACAGCACAGAACTCACAGCACAGGGGAAGGGGGAGCTATGGTGGCTTTATCCTTTATGCCACCTTTGCACCATCCCAATCCTGAGATGCTCCCAAGGATGGAGAGGCTGGTGGCCTATCTAAATTATGGCTGCCTTGTAGGTCGCAGCAATGCATAGAATCTCTGCAATGCTACATGCTGTGGACCCATTCCCAACACATACCTCCTAATCCCCTTCTTGTCTATATGCTGGGGATCGCCATGGGGTTCTTAGAAGGCAGTGCCTATGCTGGGGAATCCTCGCCCGGCTACAACTGGGGATTTAAGGGTCGCTTTCCCCCCTGATAAATGGGCCAGAGTAAGAGCAAGGTTCTCACCCATAATGTATATGGCCATGCATCCTTCTGATTCTTTTTTAATTTTAAATCTTTTTTTATAAAATTCAACTACGTTCAATTTTCAAAATAAACAAATAAATAAAATGAGAGCACTCAAGATCAATTTTAATTCCTACCATCCATTATATAGTGTCCCTAAAAATGTTAGCAAAATCAATTGCGTCAAATCTAATCCAATTAAATAAAACGCATAAAAGAACAGTTATTATTTTCATTTGACTTGGATTATAAGAGCTATAGTAAAATCTCCCTTTTCAAATCAGAGTAACTGAAATGACAATGTAAAGCAAGTAGTATGTGAACACCTAACAACAGCTGGCTTATATTTCAGCTCCTAAAACTCTGAACAGCTGCAGTGAGTTGATACATGAGGGCCCTGATGTCACTGCTAAGCTTCAAGATGTCTGGTTTATGAGAAATGGGGAGAAAGAGCTTCTTTGGAAACGGACGTTCAAGCTGAAAATACTCAATAAAATCCACATTCGGAAGAAACAAAATGTATGTAAATTTCATTAGCTTCAACAATCTACCAGCCAATATGCCAGTGAGAGTTGAATTACAGTATTCAGTATAAACCACCAGGAGGATTATGCTGGCAACAACTATGTTAGGTTAGATGGATTTAATAATTTATACTATAGCCATGCATTAATTACTTCTATGTGGGAACCAAATGGTTAATCCTGGGGGAATTCTGCACCACTGCGCAATACAGAATTTTGCAGAAATTAATGTTGGTCAGGCAGAATTTCCTTTTTCCCCCACCAAAATGGGCTGCAGAGATGTTGGCTGCCACTGGGGGCTGCTGGACCCAGCAGAGCCCAGCTCACAAATAGAAGACAAGGCGGGGAGAAGGGACTGGAGGGTTCCCAGCACCTTCAGTTCCCAGAATGCCCTGAAGAAGGAAGGAGGAGGCGGCCGCATGCAGGGAAACTCCATGCTAGCCCGGGACCCAGCTGGTCTCTGAGTGGGCTCTGGAGAGTAGGTGATGTGAGTGTCTGGGCTGGGGGGGGGGGCATGGCTGGGCTCTGGGGGGGAGAAGGGATGCGAGTTTCTGGCACCCCAGCTGGACTTGGGCGGGGACGGGACAGAAAAACAGGAACTGGGTTGTCATAGGGATTTCTTTAACTCTCTACTCCAAGGGGAATTTTTGTGTGTGTCTGTATTGTTAGACATAGTTGCTGATAGGTATTTTAAAATAAATTACCAAAATAATTGAAACTGGTGTGATTATATAGTGTTATTTTGACAACATTTGCAGAATTATGCAGAATTTTAAAATATTATACCCAGAATTTTTTATTTTTTTTGGCACAGAATTCTCCCAGGAATAAATGGTGTTACTAAAAGCTGCATATCTTGGGATAAATACAGATAAGTTTGTGTTTAAGTGGCAAATCATAAATTGGCAAAACATGGGCTACTACATCCTTTCACTCATTACATCTCAAGTTTAAGATCTCTGTCAAGTGCTCTGAAAATGGGGTGCCTAAAAAAAATCACTTAAAGCTTGGGATCAGTACATAAAGTAGACAGCTCTGCTCCTCCTAAACAACAGAATTGTTTACCGCACTGGTAAAGCTTGTTTGGGTAGGAAACAGAACTATAAAAGTCTGAAATTGTGGTGCAAAATCCTGCAGGATTTAAGAACCACCACAGACTTCACCACTTTCCATTCCAAGTGCAAGATGCAGATCTTCAACCTTGCCCTCAGTAATAAAAACACACAGTACAACATATGTTAAAAAAAATTCACCTACAATTTTCTACCAGGGTGTGGGGGAAGAGAGAGAAAGAAAGATAGATAGATGCTGGTCACATCATTTAATGCACTGCTGGAAGATGCTCAGACAATCGTTATGGGTGAGTGTAAGAAACTAAGTAGAAAAAATATGTGTTGTTATCAAATGATCACTACTAAATTACTGGATAAGATCTTATACTGCAAGGTATGTGTTGTAACTATCTTTATTTTTCACTGAGTTCAGTTTCATGTTTGTACCACTAACTGGAGAACTATCTTAGAAGTTGTCTGTTACTTATTTGTATTATGGTAGCACCTAGGGCCCCATCATGCTGGGTGCTGTACAGATTAAAAGAAAGTATCTGACTTGAAGAGTCTACAGTCTAAATAATCCCACTGAGTGTTCACCTCCCCTAATCCAAATAAAATCGGAATCTTCTACCTGCCTAATACCAGTAACAGTTAGCTTTGTTCTGAGACTGCACTTTTGTGTCCACTTGAAACAGAAGCAGGCTGAGCTGGTATGACAGTTATATAGAGAGGTAACAGAAAGGTAACTGCTTGTAAATCACTTGCCTTAATGTTCAGAGAGACTATAAATTATGAGGGGTGTTTCCAAAATCCTTTCAAGGACTTGCTTTGATGAAATATTTGTCCTAATTAGTTATTTCATACAAACCAACAGACTTCAGGAGTTCTGTCACCTACTTCCCAATACCCTCATCCTTTCATAGAGAAAAAAAAAGGATGAAAATGAGTTAATACAGGCCATACCTGTACCTATATGGATCAGGAGAATCTAGTAGAGCAAGCCCAATTTGCAATTCAGTGGTAACACACCCCAAAGAGATCAGGAATATTGCTAATAACCAGAACAAATGGAAGAAACTGTGATTAGCCTCATTTGCCTGGACCAGGAGAGTTTTGGATGACAGTGCCATCTCATCCACCTCACATGGGATGGCATAATGAGCAAGGCCCACTATGAAGAGGGGAAAAAATCACTTCTGTTAACACTTTACTGTGTGTAATCAAGGGGAGCCAGCTCACATTTAGTCTCCTTCTTCCAAATCCCATCAATTTGACACACAAAAGACTGTGCCTAGAATTTTTATTGATTTCAACAGGCCTTACATTAGACCAGGGACTACAGAGAAATGGACTTCCTAAAGACGGCATGGCACCTTTTAGAGGTACCACCCACGGATTAAAGAGCCCCTCATGCCATCACTAGTAAATGTTAAACTGCTGCTGAATGAAGCACACACAAAAATCAATGGAAAGCCAGGAATTCAGAGAGAGTCTTGATCCCCAACTGCATAGCCGGGGATCCTTGAATCTTATGCCTGTATGAGACTTAGGAGCATGCTACAGTATTCATGTTTTGGCTCTCAACCCTTCAGGTTTGCTCAGCAATTTGAGAAAGGCTCGGAGAACAAACGATGCAAATAGATAAGAAGCACATACACACTCACACAGACTGACATACAGAAACTGTCTTCTCATGTAAACCTACATACCCAAGAGCAGTCAGCCCACTGATGCTAGTGATTGGTAATCCATTATACAGATGGTAGTTCAGAAGTAACTCCAGTTCACTTCACATTTTTAACACACACAGCAACAAGGGATTTTTTCCCTTCAAATTTTCCAGTTATGCATAAAAATACAAAAGAAAATAGCATCCGGATTCTGCATTCTAGCAACTAAAAGGTAGTCTTATGACGGCGGGTATCATGACAGATGTTCGGTAAGACTAATATTGTAAGCTATAGATGTAAGGTAGGAAGGGGCTGCTTTTTTATTGCAATACTTTTATTGATTTTTATACCAACGTTGTGCAGAGTCCCAACACCGTAGCAGGGGATTAGCTCATAAATAAAATTATTGGGCCAAATTTAGAGTCCTCACTCAATTTTTATTAATGCCTTTGGTAACTGACCCAATGAATCACCAGTTCAGTCTTTAACCATTTGACTATAATGAAATAATAATGAATAATGAAGCAGCACTTCTACAATGCTTTTTACCCAATATGGGTAAATATCATTATCAGCATGTTACAGAGGGTTAAACTGAAGCACAGAAGCGAGAAGTGATTTGCCCAACCTTACGCAGCAGGACAGAGGTAGATGATTGTAAGGGTTGGGTGGGTATGAATACTTCTGCTGGTCCTTTAACTGCACTCTTCCCCTGATTGACATCAGTACTGTCAGATTCACTTACCAGTTCGTAGTTGATTGGCAGGAAGCAGGGTTTCACCACCTGAAATAAAAAGAATAAAATAAAGAAATAAGATATCTCTCTCTTTGAGGGCCCAATCCCATGAGCTTTTGAGTGGCCTCAAATCCAACTGAATGCAGTGCGAGTTGAAAGTGCTCACCAAATCAGGCCCAGAACAAGGAATCTTATTTATCGGTCAATTTTCATATACAGCCTGACTCAGCCAAAGGCAGGAAACACAAATTACACTCTCCTTAATTGCAAAGGAAAGAGATCTAGGTTTGGATCTGCCAGTGTTCAAAACCAAAAAGTCAGCTTGACCTGAATTGGTATGTCAAGTCCACTTATACTGAAGTTTAAACATTTCAGATTAAGGATTCTATGGCCTATATGTGTTATACAAGACTTGTTCAATAATTTAAATACCAAAATGGATGGAAAACCAGGAACAGTGTGACCACATCAGACTATACTATCAGCCATGGGAAACAATTTTTAGTGGCTTTCTATAGCTATATAAAGGCTACTTCTATTACTTATGTCATAAAGTTTCTATTTGGGGGGACACATTATTCCTGATCATCCTCCAACTTTCTGATCTCAGCCAAGGCCCTGGATAAGTGAGAGATGGTGTTGTCTGCATCTGATGTGGGGCTGATATAGATCTGGGTTCATCTTATGCTGGCTACTGTTGGAAACAGAATACTGGACTAAATGGCACACGGATCCGATCCAGTCTGCAAATTCCCACATTCACTGGCATTTTAGTCCATGCACTTTCACACACTCTCATTGTGGCTTTCGTAGATGCTGAATAAAATGGGGGAGAGGATGGATCCTTGTGGCACAGCACAGGCAGAGCTCTAGAGGCGGATGAGTATTACATTATTTCCTGAATAACAAACTTACACAGACAGCTCTGCTTTTAATTCTGGGTTTATAATTTTACAACACTATACCTGATTCCTGTGGGAAAGGGGGCAGCATAGGCTGTTGCCTCCCCTCCCACCCACCCCCCGTCAACTTCAGCACAAGGAAAACAAATAATTCATTACCTATGTAAGGTGCATTTGGAGTCAGCATGATACTGATCTGTTCATTCCTGTCCCTGTTAGCAGCAACAGGTAACCAGGATTGATGACTTCACTTATTGCTCAAAAAATGAATGATATGGGTTGCACGGTACATGGCTCATCAGCATTCGACCATAACAGGAGGGGGAAAACAGACCAAGGAGAAGCAAACATGCTTCAAAACTGCTACAAACTCCTTCTCTCTCACAAGTCAAGCAATTAGCATCTTCTGCAGAGCACACAGTAATGTATGTTTTGCATGCAACTATACACAGCTGCCCCCCATTGTTTGAACTAGCTTGGCAGAGGTGGTCTTTGGGATGAAGAGATTTCACCACAGTTTCATAGAAAGCAAGATTGTATACCATCCATTGTGAATACATGTAGTTGTCTTCTCTGATTCCCTTTTCCTCAGCTATTGGGATATTATCCACTGTGTGGAGAGGGCTATACTCTTGGAGTTTTACGGGTTCATCTTGTGATGAATCGGCTGAGCAGATAAAAAATTTTAGCTCATCGTTTAGCATCAATATCCACTCCCCACCTTGTGACTCTCCAGGGTGCAGGTGCAGGCTCATCCCGTCAATGGGGAGAGAGTGTGGAAAATCTTGGGAAAAGCCTGACCCAGGAAGCAAACTTGTCCTCTTTCTCTGGGAAAGCTGAGGTCTGAGCAAGACAAGCTGCAGAGGCTGTGACACAAGTTGAGAACAGAGCAGGGGAGCTGGAGGGCTGATGGAAGAGCTGCATCATGAGGTAGGAGCCACATGGGCTTGTCTGCATGGTGAGCGAAGGGCAGAGCAGGGAAGCAGGATGGAAAGAAGCTGAGGAGCTGCATGCAGAGTGGGAACCCTACCAAGGGAGGAAAAGGTGAAGAGCCACATGTGCAGCAGGCTGTGCGTAGCAAACGTTACATCTGGATACCGGTCTATGCAGGAAGCAGCAAGCGACAGAATATAGAGGAGCCTGAAGAGAACTCTCAGGGACACAGAGCCAGCAGCTAGCTCAGTATCTTAAAAGGACAGAAACCAGAAGAAAGTTGCTTCAGACAAAGAACCAGAGTCACTGGGGGAGTGGTCAGTATGTTCTATCCAGGTGTTAGCCCTTTCTTTTGGGTCTATTATACTTGTAAATAACAATTATATATAAGCAGAGACTGCAGGGGACCTTACACCTATCTGGAGCCACATGCTATCAGGAGCTGCTCAGGAAGTACTGCTGGACAGGGGAGGCAGGTCTCTATAATTTTTGGTGGTCCCCAGAACGGATCCAAGACCGCTCCCCCACACCTGCCTAAGGCTCTGGGAGGGGGTTTGGGTGTGGGGTGCAGGCTCTGGGCTGGGGCAGGGGGTTGGGGTGCGGAAGAGGGTGAGGGGTGAAGCACTTACCTCGGGCGGCTCCTGAAAACAACCCGCACACCCCTCTGGAAGCGGCTCCTAGGCGGTGGTTGGACGGGGGGTCCCCACGCGCCACTGCCCGCAGGCACTGCCCCCACAGCTCCCATTGGCCGCAGTTCCCAGCCAAAGGGAGCTGTGGAGTCGGCGCTCAGGGCGGGGGCAATGCGCGGAGACCCCGTTCCCCCCTCAGGGGCCATAGGGCCGTTCCGGCTGCTTCCAGGAGTGGTGCCGGGCAGGAAGCCGCCTTAGCCCCACTGCGCTGCCTGTGGTGGCGGCGGCGGCCAGGGGCCCTTTTAAATCACCTGGGCATGGCAGGCGGGGTCAGGAGATGCTATGGGTGAGGCATGCGGGGGCGACGGGTGGCAGGCGGGGCCGGAGGAGAGACCCGGCCCCGAACATTAGTGGAGTCGGGCCCCCAGGCCCTGAATATTCCTGGAGCACGGGCACCACAGGCCCATATAGTTCGCCGCCCCTGTTGCTGAAGCAGCAAAGAGACTATGCAGAGGGGCACCCAATGAGACATACGATATATTGATCGTGGCCTGGAAATCTGTGAGTTACTTATTTGCCTTTAATAGACTCTCAGACTTTCAGGCCAGAAGGGACCATTCATGATCATCTAGTCTGAACTCCTGCACACTGCAGGTCATAAAACCTTGCCCACCCACTCCTGTAATAGACCCATAATCTGTGGCTGAGTTACTGAAGTCATCAAATCATGATTTAAAGTCATCAAGTCACACAGAATCCACCATTTACACTAGTTTAAACTTGCAAGTGACCCATATTCTATGCTGCAGGGAAAGGCAAAAACCCCCAGGGTCTCTGCCAATCTGACTCAGAGGATAATTCCTGACCATCATATCTGGGGTCAGGAAGTTGAACCCTGACCATTATGGCAAGACCCAGCAGCCAGACACCTGGGAAAGAATTCTATGTACTAATTCAGAGCCCTCCCCATCTAGAGTCTCATCACCGGCCACTGGGGATATCTGCTACTAGCAGTTGCAGATCGGCTACATGCCATCGTAGGCAGTCTCATCGTATCATCCCCTACGTAAACTTACCATGTACAGTCTTGAAGTCAATTAGATTTTTTGCCCCACTGCTCCCCTTGGAAGGCTGTTCCAGAACTTCACTCCTCTGATGGTTAGCAACCTTCATCTAATTTCAAGCCTAAATTTGTTGATGGCCAGTTTATATCCATTTGTTCCTGTGTCAACATTGATGCTTAACTTAAATAACTCCTCTCCCTCCCTGGTATTTATCCCTCTGATGAGTTTAGAGAGCAATCATATCTCCCTTCAATCTTTGTTTGGTTAGGCTACACAAGCCAAGCTCTTTCAGTTTCCTCTCATCAGGTAGGTTTTCCATTCCCCAGATCATCTTAGTAGCCCTTCTCGGCACCTGTTCCAGTTTGAATTAATCTTTCTCAACATGAGAAACCAGAATTGCACACAGTATTCCAGATGAGGTCTCACCAGTGCCGTGTATAATACTAACACTTCCCTGTCTCTATTGGAAATACCTCGCATGATGCATCTTAGGACTGCATTAGCCTTTTTCATGGCTGTATCACATTGGCGGTTCATAGTCATCCTGTGATCAACAAATACACCTAGGTCTTTCTCCTCCTCTGTCACTTCCCAAGTGATACATCCCCAGCTTATAGAAAAAATTCTTGTTGTTAGTCCCTAAGTGGATGACCCTGCACTTTGCACTATTAAATTTCATCCCATTTCTCCAGTTTTCAAGGTCATCCAGATCTTCTTGTATAATATTAAGGTCCATTCTGAGGAGCCCGAACTCTCTATTGGAGTGCCCCCAGAGGCCACCTGAAGTGTTGAACCTTGAAGCCTCCGTAACTAGAACATTTACTTTGCCAGCTCTAGTAAAATACCCTTTCACTTAGCCATGTAACTTAGTGCTCACTGGGATCTACCTGTGCTAGCAGTGCTAGGGCCTCACAGCTGAAGCACCTACACCATTTGCCTTTGAGTCGTGAGACAACTGGCGCCCTGCTGAGTACCATAAGACGCCTAGTGTACCACAGCACTGTGCAGCCGTATTCATTACAATCTTTTAAAAAGCAAGACTCAATTTATGCAACATTGTAACCAGCAGAAATGAAGAGGTTGTCAAGTCCTATGCACACTGGATGGTGAACAACACAGGTAGAAAGAAGCAGAGTTGACTACATCAAACAAAACCCACTCAGGTCTCTTAACTCCTGTAAAGCTTCCATCCTAGAATATTTTTTTCTCCCTCAATGTGCAAATGGATGGCGTTTTCCTGGATAGCTGAGCCTTTGCTTGGGAAAGAGGGGTTCTCAAACTTTCCCGTACCAGGAACTCCTGCTAAAGCTGAAAAAGTCTCAGGACCGCCCCCGCCCACCATCCCCAACTCTCCCAAGCTAGCTCCAAGGAAATGGACGCTGGCTCTCACCAGCTGAAGCCTCTCTGTGACCCCTGAGTTTGACAGTCTATGGACTAAGTTAGATGCATACACACATTTTTTGCTGCAGATTTCATCATTGCTGCTGCTGACTTTTGCTAATCATCTCTGTCCAACTGAG